AAACAGCCTATTAAAAGGGGACAAAATGGCTATTTTAGGTCATTTTTAGGGCTTCCCTGGTGGTTCAGATGGTAAAGAATCTGCCTGCGTGGGAGACCTGGGTTTGATCCCTGGGTCAGAAGATCCCCTGGAGAAGAAACTGGCAACCCACTCCAGTATTCTTGCCTGGAGAATTGCATGGTGGGCTACAGTCCATGGGGCCACAGAGTCAGACATGATTGAACCACACACACACACACACACACACACACACACACAGGCATTTTGATGTTACCGACTGTGAACAGCCACCTGGACTTCAGGCTGTGGGGGAGACACTGCAGTGGACCACAAGCCCCACCTACTTGGATTCGGCAAGGGAGTAAGTCTGAGAAATGCTCTCAGTCTCTCACCTGCGAGTTTGAGCAACACCAGAAAATGGGTTTGTTTGAAATCTAGTTACAGAGAAAGCCTAACTGGGTTAAGTTGAAGAGAGACATAAAAAGGAGACCTGACTTTTCCCTGGGGAATAGAGTGGGTGGTATTTGTTCCTGCTGTTTTGACGGCTGTGAAGGGGCGGGTGGGCTGGAGAACAGTTGTGCTGATGGTGGTGATGGTGGGTGAGTTTCCTCACCCAGAAAAATCTTCAGCTAGCGTTTCCCCGGTAGGGAGTCACAGTGTAGGTAAGGAAATTCCCTCGGCACCTGCGGGGAAATGACAGCCCCTGGCTGTCCCCAGGGAGATGCCACAGTCCCGCTGTTTGTCCTGGTTGGCACCATCAGCATCTGGGCCATGTCACCCTGAGTAGTTCAGAAACTGGGGTGGGGTGGGGCACAGGAGGGCATCTGAGGGGGGTGGTGCTTTCCTGACAGCTGTCAGGACAGAGGTGCTAGAGGGATATACACTCAAAAGAAAAAAGCTTTGCAAGGAATAGGATGACTCAAGTATTATTATTTATGTATTCCTTTGGTTAATTAGGTCTGTATGGCTGGAGATTGGGGAAGTCTTTCATGCGATTTTTAACAGGGCGGGAGAGACAGAAAAGCAAAGAGTTAGTGAATGTTTAACTTGTCACAGGTTAGCCTGGACATGAGGATCCTACTCTCCAGCACCTGCTTGATACCTCCCTTACCCCTCTGTGAAGCAGTGACCATTGTCTTCACTTCCCAGTTCAGGAAGAGGTTCAGAGATGCTATTGGTCCAAGGTTAATGAGCCACATAGCTACCAAGTTATGAAGCCAAAATTAAAATCCAAATATATGTCTCAAAGGGCTTCCCAGGTGGCACAAGTGGTAAAGAATCCGCCTGCAATGCAGGAAGACACAGAAGAGATGTGGGTTCAATCCCTGGGTGGGGAAAATCCCGTGGAGGAGGGCATGGCAACCCATTCCAGTATTCTTGCCTAGAGAAGCCCATGGACAGAGGAGCCTGGCGGGCTGCAGTCCATGGGGCTGCAGAGTGGAAATGACAGAAGAGACTTAGGACATATGCATATGTATCAAAATCCCAGGGTCCTTCCACTCTACCGCACTGCCTGGCCACCAGACACTGCTTCTGTTTAAGGAGCAGCTAAGAGCTCTCGTTCCTTTACCTGCAAAGTGGGTGAGGAAAGAGCTGGGACCTCTTGGCCTCAGAACTCAGCAGAGTGCCTAGCACCCAGAAGGTGCCTCAACGTTTAAAGCCAAGAATGCATTCAGGTGGCTCAAACTACCAGAAGTCTAGCTGGGCTAGTTTTACAGTATGTTGTTCTGGCTACTAGCGTTATGGTCTGGTACTCTGAACTGATTAAAATACTGACAAAATAGTTCCTTGAATCAGTTGCTGACCTCCAGACATGTACCATTTTGGATACCTGTTTCTTCCATGAAGTGTGCTTCTCTGTGGATATAATTTTCCCCAGATGGGATAAGGTGGGATAAAACCTGTAGATTAGGCAAGACAAACCCTCACTCTGTTCGGTCAGATGGCAGGAATTCCAGGACGACAAGCCATTATTCTAATGACCTTCTCCAAAAGCAGAGGCTCATAGATTGATGACCATGTGTCGTGGCTTTTCCAGGCCACTCCCAACCTAACATAGTTCATCTTGTTGTACCCCATACATAACTTTCATACTCACAAGACTATACCCTTGGTTTGGGATTCTGAAATATAAACCACTGAACAAGTGCCTGATCACCCACTGGTATAGATCTAGTTGAAGCACAGGCCCTGTGAGTAGTGCTGTTCCATTTTACTCACAGAAGACAGCAAGGCTCTTCGATGCAATACTACTTATTACCTTGTATTGTTTTATCTGTATATGTCAGCTGTCCCAAGTAGTCTATCAGCCCCATGAAAGGCTGTGTTTTAATTATCTTTCTCTCTCCTTAGCTTCCAGCTAAGCAACTATAAAAAGCACTCCCAAACATTGTTGGTATGAGTGTAAAACCATGCATCTTTTAAGAGTACTTTATCAGTAACTGTATGGTCTAACAATTCCACTCCTAGGGATTTATCCTAAAGATATACTCTCATATGTGATGAGTGACCTGTGTATTAAGAGATGCTCATTTGAGCAATACTTGTAATAGTAAAAAACTGAAAATCATCATTAGGGACTGGTACTAATTATGATGAATTTATACAATGAGATACTATGCAACCATAGAAAGAACAGCTATATTTATGTATACCAATGTTAAGAGGCCTAAGCAGTGTACTTTCTTCTGATATACGTATGTCAATATAGCAAATCTCTGAAGGGAGACGAGAAACTTAACAGTGGTTGCCTCTGGAGAGGGAATACATAGTCCAGAGTGGGATGGAAGCTTATTTTTCATCATATATCCATTTGAACTGTTTAGGTTTGTTTTTTTCAAAAAACTATTCACATATATTGCTTTTTCTTAAAGCCAAACAGAAACTAGTTATAAAAAGCAAGGACAAATTAAAAAAGAAAGCAAGTTGTTTAGGAATATGCATAATATGATTTCCATTTATGTAAAAGAGAGAAAATATATGTTTGCATGTTTGGATTTAGAAAGTTTGTGGCAAGTTATATAAGAAACTTGTAATTTCTTCTGGGGAGTGGGACAAGGTAGCCAAGTATTTTTTTACTTTCACATCATGTATCCTTTTGTAACTTGAAAAAAATGAGCCTGTATTAGGTTTTTAAAAAGTGAATTTAAAAAACTGCTGTAAATAAGGGGCCCATGAAATATTTAATGTACCTAAAGAAACCATGCTAATTTAAATTTTCTCTCTCATGTGGCACATAATTGACAAATCTAAACCTGAAGTTTCAATCCTATCTCCTAGTCTGGGAAAGGACACGAGATTGATCTGTAGGACAAAATAGAAAGGGAAGGAAACATGATGATTAGGTAGGATGTTTCTGCACACACAGCAGGAACTGCCCAGGGTACAGAGCCTCCCTTCTCTTGGAAGGAAGAGCTGTCATGGGGAGCAGAGGATGAGCTGCACAGTCAAACTTAAGATAAACCTAACTTCTCCTCACTGAAGAAAGTCAAACTGGCAAATTTAGGAGCAGAATATTTACAACATGAGATCCTAAATTAATTATGGTATAGACATATTATCTAAAAAAAGAATGGTGGAATGCATATAGTATGCTCCTTTAATAAAAAACAAAACCAAAAATTAAAAGCCTATGTATGTATGTGTATATGTACATATATGCTTTGAAAAAGGGTTGTAAGGATATATGCCAAATTATTAACAGTTATTACCCCCGAGGAATAGAATGGGAACATGGAAAACCTTTTTTCCTTTTACATTTGTGCATTATTTGATATTTTATTAAAGATTTTTTTTTTGATGTGGACCATTTTTAAAGTCTGTATTAAATCTGTTACAATATTGCTTCTGTTTTATGTTTTGCTTTTTTGGCCATGATATGTGGGATCTTAACTGCCTGACCAGGGATCAAACCTGCACCCTTTACACGGGAAGGTGAAGTCTCAACCACCAGACCACCAGGAAGTCCCTATTTGATATTTTAAATGCTACTTTTGTAATTAAAAACAGTGTGTAAAAATAAAAAAGCTTCATAATTTTCAAACTTTTTGTGGTCCTAGAAAAAAAATCTTTGAATGTTCTTCTATAAGGAAATTTTAATTTCAACTTCAAGGCAGTTTTGACAAACATGTGGCTTCCCATCTGTTTAGGTGGTTAAATACAGTCTTGCCTGGGTACAGGGATGGCCTCATAATCCTTCAAGGCCACTTCAATCTCAATACACTTTATTTCCTATAAAGTGTAGGTAAGCAATTAATCAAAGACGCAGGACTTTTTTCCTAAATAAGAGCACATGGATGGTATTGTTGGATAAATTCCCCCAAATGAGGTAGCCAGCCCCTTAGAAAATGGCTTCCCAGTATTCCCTGACTACTGTTTTCTTTACTGAAAGACACACACACACTCTTTCTCTCTCGATCTGTGCAACCAACCTGAACCCTGGCAGTTCAGCTTTAGCCAAAGGGCCAGGGCAAGCCCCGAGGCAGCTAGGTTCTGCACCACAACCACTTACAGCCTGGGCAGCAGACTTGGGAGAACAAACGCTGAGAAGAAAAAGCTCTGCTGTTATTAAATCACAGAGGCTGGGGCAGCTATGGGGCGGCTGTCTGACACCGGCACCACCTGCCACATGCAGGAACCCAATTATGTAGTGACAACCGCTATTCCTGTGAAGGGACAGGGTGGAGGACAGGGGTGTAGACAGAGCCTCTGGCTGCCTGGTGGAGCTATTGGCAGTTGATTTTTCAGAGCTGGTAGGTTCTCCTTTGGAAAGTTACCCTTTTGTCTCCTACAGACCTCTTCCCAAGAGAAACAGCTGCATCTGCTCACCCTGACTTTTGTATTTAATCTGGTTCTGAAGCTAAAGCAGTGGACAAATGACTGAGGAACTGGATACCCTCACTGAAGCCCCAAACAAGCTGTCCGAGTGACTTCTACCCCATGAGGCCCAGAGAAAAACAGTAATGAAATGAAGTCGCTTCCTGCAGTGAAACAAACGTGGGAATGTTTATGCAATTGTTTTTATTTATTCGAGTCTAAAGATTGACTGCAGCAATTGTTGGATGGTTGACACCTTAGATTAACACTAATTATACTGCTATAAATTTGGTTCAGGGTCAGAATAAGAATCAGGAAAGAGGGAGAACAATAGCAACAAAAATCTTCAAACACTGAAATGAAGAAATACTTTTTTCCCTTGAATTAATGCTACTTTCCCATAGACTTCCCTAGACTGGTTTGCAGCCTAAAGTAAAGAAAACAAGGCTTGGGCATATGGAAGAAACCGCAGGTTAAGCTATGCTGCCAAGCAAGAGGCTAAAACCGCAATCTGAGTGTCAGTCTCAGGCACAGTCTAGGAGCACAAGCAGATTCTCAAATGTGTCCCAGAGTTCTTCCATCTTCACCTATTCAATTTCCCCTTTTCTGGCTAATTCAGGGCTGTACACAACCCCCTCGCTGCCTCTTCTGGTCACGCTGTTGTTTATAGGGAAATTGACAGGCACATGCGGCTTCTGCTTAGATGGAAAGGCAGCAAGACCAGCTGTGATCCATTTCCTCCTGAACGCCTGGACAGTCGGGTTGGCTGAGGAAGGCTTCTTCAGGCCTCCGGAAGGCCTGGAGCACCAGGAAGAACACTGCTTACCCTTGGGAAACCTGGCAACAGTTGCCTGTGATTTCTGGTGGAAATGACCAGTCAGAATCAATCCATCTCACTGGGAAAGGTCAAGAGAAAAAAAAAAACAAACAGCTTCCCTTCCAAAAATGGTAAAGAGGAAACGAGGAGAGAAGAAACCAAAATACTCAGAATGGCAAAATATTTAGAATGGCATAAAAAGTAATATGCATAAACTTTTTTGTTATTAAATCTAACTATAAGTTTCCTAAAGTCCAGTTACCAAGTTGAATTGTGTGGGAAAGAAGAGAGAGATTGGCTGGCATTTTCAAGAGTTCACAACTTCAGGCTGAGAGGTCCTAGGTTTGCGCTGGGGGAGCCCCTTCCTGAATGAGGGCTTGGGTGGGCCAGGCTCCATGCTGGCTCCAGTCCCATTGGTCCCTGCAGAGTGAGCCTGGCCCCGTTCACTAGTGTTTCCTGGTGCATGGGATGGAGCACTCTGGTACCTGGAACCAGATGAATACCATGAGCTATTTCTGTAACGACCCATGCTATCATGTCGCCCTTGGTTCGTGGGGTCACTGGACTTCGGGCCTTGTGGCCTGTAGCCTTGTCCTCCTCGTCTGTTTCCTGGCAATACCTGAGGATAAAAGAATACAATGTTCAGAGCACAGCGGTATAAGGGCACCTCATGTGTGCCAGTTCAATGTACAGGAGTATTCTTTTTTTTTTTAAATGACTGATGGTTTTATTGGCAAAAGTAACTAGATAGTGTATGAAGTTATTTCAGATGACAGATTTAGTTGTTTTCCTTACAAGTAAAAGCTTCAATTACCACATTAAAACTTTAATGCAGGCTATCTACATATGGCGCTTTAGCCTCAGGCCTGGAGCAGCTGTGAAATGAAAGTTACCGCACCATTCTAGTCCTTGGATATCAGTATATTGTCCTTCGCCTTCCACCCTGTTTTCATTGAAATTTCCAGTGTACTTTGCTCCAGTTGGGAATGTATAAGTTCCCAGTCCATGAAACATATTGTCCTTAAAGTGTCCTTCATATACTGCTCCTGAAAAATGTTCAAGTTTTCCAAAACCATTCATCTTGTCATCTTTCCAGCTTCCTGTGTAGACAATCCCATTCGGAGTGGTATGAATACCTATTCCATTTCTCTCAATGACTCCAGAAGATGTTCTTGTACAGTCCCCATCATACTTGTCTCCATTTGGAAATATAAAGTTTATCCTAAATACTTCAGGAGTTGACACAGGGCTGCGGGACAGATTTTCTGGACTCTGAGATTCCCCCTGGGCTGCCAGCTCCGTGGCCTGGAGGGACGTACAGGAGTATTCTGAAAGCCTAGCAGTGGCATCCCATGCTTGGGACTCGGTTCTCTCTTAATACTCACAAAATTTGGTCAGCTGATCCAAACTAGACCTAATGAGAACTCATAAATCTTTTGCTATCTCCCCTCTGCCTTTCACCTCAGGCTCCTCTCCACTGAAGAGCTTTTCTTTAGCTGGGCTGAGGAAGAAAAAATATTCTCTGGGGCTGTTATAAGCCTTCAACTGGGCAAGTGTCTGATCACATGTCTGAATTTTGTAGATCACAAGCCATTGGTAAAGATAATGAACATCTGAATAATAAAATAAGCTTCACTATGATCTACTTTGCTACTACTTTCTAGTGTCTGCTCCCTGCCTTACCTGGTTCATGCTCCTCTCTCTCCGGGGTATGCTCTCCCTGGGCTTCCAGGGAGCTGCTGCTTCAGTCGCATTCTGGCGAACCTACCACTGTGGTGCTTTCCACCTCCAGATGGGTGCACGACTCCCAGTGTGACCAATTACCAGGCAAGACTACTGCCTATGACAGTGAGGATCACTGCCAACATCAGAAAGTCAGTAGTCCTGGCAACGGGAAATCTAAACTGGCTGGTGAACTGGAACATACACACCAAACCCTTTCTCTGGAACTAACTGAGGCCGGAGGGATTCAAGATAGGTGTGGAAGGGGCATAAAGAGAAGCGGGTCATGTACTGAGCTGTCAGCATTTAAACTGTGACAACCTGGTTTAAAAGCTTTTCTGCCTAACCTGCTCAGTGTGGAAGCTAGGTTACCTCTCGATGAGGCTGGTAGGATCGGCCACCGGAGTTTGCTGTGGTTGTAGGAGTCTCCCCTGGTGCTGAATTTTTCTTGTTAGCACTTGTAAGGCTGGGAGCAGAGGCACAGGTGGAAGCAGCAGCAGCAGACGTATCACACGGGTTACTCAAAGACATAGATGTAACCGAGCTACATCGAGATCGGGTGGAATAGCTGTTCTTTGGATGGGATACTGAGACAGAAATATGAGAAAGATGTGGTCACGTGATAGAAAGGCATGACTGGTAATGTTCTCCCTGCTTCTCCATTTCACAATGAGCAATTCAGGATAAAGAACTGTCTGAGTATTTGTAAAGCTAAGCTTTAAGGAGGTAACAGGAAGGAAAACCTCCCTTCTGCCCTCTTCCTCCACTCCTTCCAAATCCCCACAGCTTTGCAACAATCCGTCAGAGCGGCCCATCCCCCCACCAACTAATGATTTCTTGGCGTTCCTACCACCTCAACGCCTGGCTTTGGCTCCAGTGGCTGACTAAGCCTAGGAACAATAGTATGGGCCATATGTTCAGTTTCCTATGCAAGGAACATTCTAAAGTACCGACTTCGCAAAGAAAGAAAAAGTTAAATGAAAAGCTAAATTCTTTTTTAAACATTTGAATGATGCAAGATGAGTTACGTATGAAACAGAACTAGTCTTCACAACAAATATCTATCTTCCTAAGGTTCTTTCTGCAAACGTAACTCCAAATTCAAAATATCAGTCTAGTTGAAAAATATTAACATTTTCAAGTTTTGTCAGAATTCAATGGTTTAAAAGTAGTCCCTAGATTTTTTTCCTTGGTTTTAAGCCTGGGCTAATGTTGAGTTCACAATCCCTGCCCTAAGTCCAACATTTATTTCACTTTTACGCCGAGACTTAAAGAACAGAAGAGCTGAGCTCAGGTTCTCTGGGTCTGACTGATGCCTCACTTACAAGCGCTCATCTTAGAGGCATCTCTGTTCCCGCCTCCTCGCCCCCCACCATCCCGGTTATGTGCCAGGCCAAGCAGGTAGTGTTACCTCCATTTTGGAGAGGAGTAAGCTGAGGGCAGCACTGTAGCCAAACACCTCAAAGCTCAGCAGAAAATGATGAAAAAACCACCACAAATTTAGGGAGCTGGGAAATGCCCATCCTCAGAGCTCAAAGCATCTGTGTTCACTGACTTGTTAAGTGTCTCTGAGTCCCTTTTCATAAAAGCAAGCAAGCAAACCAAAACCCAAGAGGGACGGAGAATCAGGGGAGAAGCCAGTTAGCACTTCAGTCTCTAGTTAGGAGAGGGTGGTGGTCTCCTCAGCGTCTCCAGCACCCTGCATCTCTCACCATCTCACCTTGTCCAAATGAATCAATGTTCTTCTTCAGGGTCTCTACATCACAGGTGAATCGGGCCACTCGTCCCAGATCCTCATCATATTTACGTTCACTAACAAAGTGCTGGAGAAAAGACAAAGACAAACCTCCAGGTGAGACAAACAATGTATGGGATTTCTAGCTTGCTATGCAATGTAGGAGAGCTGGCTTCAATTCCTGGGCCAGGAAGATCCCCTGGAGAAGGAAATGGCAACCCATTCCAGTATTCTTGCCTGGAGCATTCCATTGACAGAGGAGCCTGGAAGGCTACAGTCCACGGGGTCACAAGAGTCGGACACAACTTAGTGACTAAACCAACCATAAACAGATGAACAGGATTACTTTCAACTGATTCCTTTTTGTGCTTCAAATTTCACTAAGTGGCCATATATTACCAATGCTGGGTGGCTGACAAAATCTAGCCATTTTCTTTAAGAGTCCAAAGATAAGTCCATTTGGGAGCTTTATGAAATGCTGTATGATGGTCATTAGGTGTAAATCAAGAGAAACTGAAGGAAGGAGAAGGAACTCACGATGGAGGGCCATCTTTCTCGCCACTGTTGGCTACTCTCCACACTGCTCCACTATATACACCGGCAGAGGCAGCAAAAATGTCCACAGTTACAACAATGATTCCATTTAAATAAATGGTTTGGTGTTCTTTAATAGAAACTTCCTTAGGAAACCCACTGCACCTCTTTATACAAAGTAGGATTTGTTAGCCCTTGAAATAGGAACAATTTCTTGAGTTGGAAAATCATTCATGTGAAAAGTCAGCTTTGCAAATCAGAAGAGTTTCTGCTGCAAGTAATTTAATCCTTTTAAGCAGACTGAGCCGAGAAGTAACCAACCTCTTGGGTCAAAAACTAACTATACTATAGAAATAGTGGGACTAGAAAAATGTCAGGAATAAAGTGCTTCCAGGGTCTATTTCAATAAACAATTTCTAACGTAGGCTGGAATCATTTTTTCAGATGAAAAAGAGAATAAGAAAGAAAAGTTAAAGGCCTAGATACAATTTGGGAGAACTGAACTACTCAGAGCAATACTTTGTCTGGGGGTGTCCTAATTCCACTATGGATTTTCAAGGGGTAGAGTCAAATGCATCACAATCCTTGGGATGCGCCTAGAAGCAATAAATGGGAGAGAAGGAATAACAATTAGTTTTCGGCCTTGAAGTCCTAAAGCTTCAGAGTATATTGTGGCTTAGGCAAGCTCATGAATCTCTGTAACAAAGCCTTCAGACATGTAATATCAGTCTGAGATTAATTCTGAAGCAAATTCTAGGGTTTGCTGAGCCAAAGACATAACAGGAATGACGGAAATAAAATGATCTGGAAATAAGACATTTAAATTGCACAGCACCCACTTCAGTACACTGAAAACGTGGAGAAACAGATCCTTAGTCAGCCTGCAGAAATATTTCTAGCAGCTCTTCAACCACGTGGGAAGGGGAACAGATGAAGCCTATGAAAGCCAGAATTCTTATCTAATTCCAAAGGGGTTTCCGGCTTCTCCCAGATAGTTGAATGAGACTGACTGGCATCAATACGAGGAAGACTCTCTATAAAATTTAGCAAAATAGCCTTAGTTAATCAGAAAATGGTACTTTAAAACCTACATTGCTGGCTTCACTATTTCTCCCCAGTATAGTCTAAGGGGAAGGGGTGAGGGGATAACACATATAGGTTTGCATGAAAGACTAGGTCAGGATAGTAACCAGGATGCCTGTAAGGTCTCAGATGATCTTCTGTCTGTGCTTTTATTTTCCAAAGGCTGTTATAAAACCTCCCGAGCAAGTATTCCTCTTGAATATGGCAGTAAATTTCACACTACAGAAAGAGCAGAGTTAGGTCTTGGGAGTAGAGAAGGCCAACACCCCTGGTTCATACAACTCACAGTTGAGAAACAATTAATAAGAATGCTGGTGTCTACAAGTTACCCATGATTAACCCAGCCTCTCTCGGGTTCCCATCTTAGTCTCAGAAATACTGTTCTTTACAAAAGAATTTAAAACGTCTGAGTATTGAATCCAAGTAATCTTTATAGACAGATTACAATATAACCAACATCTCAAACTGCTCATTTTTCTCTTATAAAATCAGAATTGACCAACCAACTATTTAAATGTCTACTGAACACCTACTAGGTGTCAAGGCACTATGCCAGGGCCCTGGAGACACAGTAGTACCTATCGAGTGAGGAAGACAGATTACTCAACTACACATACAATTATAAGTGTGCTAGGAAGGCACAAAGAGGGGATGTGACAGGAAAGCCAGAAAGGATGAGGAGATCAGGAATGAGACGTGAGCTGGAATGGTGGGGGGTAGGGGGTTGGGGGGAAGTGGGGGAGAAAGGAGGGAAAAGAATGTTCTGGGCAGATGGGGAAGCATGTGCAACAGCCCTGACAGGAGGGAACAGGTATGCCTGTGGAAAGGAGAGCTAGCACGGCTGAAGCACAGGGAGCAAGGGGGCCAATGCGCAAAGGATGGCAGTAGAGCCAGACCATACGGAGCCCCACAGGCTGCTAAGCGTTAGAGCCTGTTCTGAAAGCAATGGGAAGCCTGAAGCGGGGTCTGCAGTGTGAGGAACAGATATGCGCAGGTGAGGAGGGCAAGGTGGTGGCCAAGTGGAGAACTGGAATCAGTTAAGAGGCTACTACAGAAGTCAAAGCAAGAGATCACAGTAGCTTGATCATAATGGTGGTGGTGGAGACAAAGAGAAAAGGTCAGATCTGAGATTGTGCAGGTCAAATGGACAGGGTCTGCTGATAGATTTAAATGTGGGAAAAGGAGAAACTTCCTAAGGTTTCCACTTTGGACACTGGGCAGATGACAGTACCACTTACAGAGCAAGAGAACTTGGAAAAGGGCCAGGTTTGGGAAGAAGGGGTCATGAGTTCAATATATTAGATATCGTCATGAATTATGGAGATTTGTTACTTTAGTCCCTGAGGGTAAGAAGAAAGGCAGAAAAGAGAAGGAAGTTTTACCTTGATATCAGCTCTAAGCTCGACCAACTGCTCTTCTGACATCCGAACAGCCACATCAGTCATTTTCTTTAGAAGTTCGGCTTTCTTTTGACGGCTAAGCAAAATTTCCACTGTAGAGGGAAAGGGAGCATGACTCTTAGGGTCTGCTAAGTAGGACAAAGAAGGACTGGAAATACAGGCCTTGCAGTGTGTGCTCGCACTGCCAAAGGCTTAGCTGCCCACCCACCCAGAAAGTGAAAATACCAAAGGTCCAGTTTTCACCTTCTTGAGGAACTCCAAAGGCAGTTAATATGGTAAACACTTCTTATGACTCATAAAGACTCACAAATCATTTGTCATTTTTCTTTCTCCTCTTCCTAATTAAAAAAAAATTTATTAAGAAGTATGTACACTGGGACTTTCCTGGTGGTCCAGTGGTTAACACTCTGCACTCTCAATGCAGAGGGCACTGGTCTGGTCCCTGGTCAGGGACTAGATCCCACAAGCTTCAACTAAGAGTTCACACACTGCAACTACAGATCCTGCATGCTGCAACTAAGACCCGGTACAGCCAAACAAATAAATTAAACTTCCACTTGACTCTGTGTTCCCCTCCCTGGAAGAAACCACTGACAACAATTTTTCATGTATATTTCCCTAATATACTCTCTGCATATACGGAATACCACAATACTCAAGTTCTCTAATGATGCATATTTAGATTGTTCACAGCTATTTTTTTGTAGAATAACTTTTTAAACATTTTAATTAGAAAAAAATGTTTTTCGGCCACACTGTGGATCTTAGTTACCTGACCAGGGATGGAACCTGAACCCCCTGAAGTGGAAACTTGAAGTCTTAACCACTGGACTGCCAGGGAAGTCTGTTTACTGCTTTTAAAAAAGCATCATCTTAAAAAAAAAAACCAAAAAACCATCATCTTCAGTTTGCACCGAGGTACATAAATCAAGTATGGCCGCAAAAGATAACAGACAATAAGGAGTCTCTCAGAGTAAAGAGCCAGGGACTACAGAGGACAAACACCCTGTCAGGTTGGCTGGGGAGAAGAAGAGAGAAGCCTGGGTCCCTCATATCATTTTGGAGATGCCCTACAGCCCTGGACTGCTTACTTCTGGACCTTTCATTTCATGAGAGAAAATGAACCTCACATTTATTTAGGCCATTCCATGGCATGCAGTTATACTCAATTCCTAACTGTTATGCACAGAATCCTATAACCTACTGAGAAATTAGCCAAATTTATGTTAGAAAAAAATAGAATTTTTAAAGAGCTACATCCGATGTTAGAGAGCTGGAATGTCTATAGCAGGTTTACTCAGTCTGATTTGCCACAAATATGGATGGGCTGCCCATACCCATGTCAGGTTAATCAATAAGGGCACACTTTTGCAATAAATTAGGAACATGCATACAAAAGTTTCTCAACACAAAGGCCCAACAAATACAAATGATTTATTGGTCTGGCTCCCAAGATAAAATCTATTTGTCATTTGTATCAAATTTACTTTCTCTCAGCTTCAGCATTCTAGGATTCTAAGATAAAATTACAAGTCTCAAGATGGAGAAATGTGTCAAGTATAGATTTCTACACATAGCATATAATTCAGAGAGCCTAAGTATATGATCTTGGACAAGTCACATTTTTCCAAGGAACTAGTTTTTTCATTTATGAAATGACAAAAATTAAAAAGTCAGAAAACCTAAATCTCCCATAAGGTTGATGTTAAGATCAGATAAGAATGAGTGTGTAAAACCCTAAACTGTGAAGTACTATGAATATATAATTAATAAAACTATAATACATAAAAAAGAAATTTGATATTATTGGTAAAAGAGTAATTACATTAATGTCGTTGAGAACTAGGATTTTTAGCATGGGAGCAAGGAGATACTGATATAAAATTGATGAATTTGAGCAAAACTCTGTAGCTCTGAATTTGATCCTAAAAGACTGGCCATGAATTGATAGTTGGTTAAGGCTGGGTGCTGCGGCGGGGGGAGGGGGGGGGGGCGCAGGTAATTATATCAGCCTCTCTATTTGAAATATGTTAAAATTTTTCTATAAAATATATATTTTATTTTTATTTTTTAAAGATATATTTTTAAAAGAACCTTCTTCTCAACAGTAAGGACTATGTCTTTTTTCCTCTCTGAAACTTCACCTTCAAAAAGAGAATACATCGGTACAAGAATGGACCGAGACTGTCACTAGAAATTTCAGGATATACCACTCAATTTAAGTGAAATCTCACCTCTGAAAAACAATGGATGGCATCTCTGCTATGTATCCAACACTTTGTTAAAATGGATCAAAACTGAACTCAACTCAGTGCTTCAAAGCTGCCTCCTCTGGCCCAAGACCACAGACACAAATGATTTAACTGTGAGTCATCTCAACCTATATCCATTCTCAACAGTTTGAGAGCAGGTTAAAAGAAACAACCTTCCTAATTACAAATCTGTCATTCAATGCACGAAGGTAAAAACTGCTGAAAAGCCCTAAATCAATGCCATTGTACAAAGAGCAGTTGACATTCTCTTCTTTTCATACAGCTGTCTATGTTTAACCTAACCCTTAACAGAAATGACAAAAACAGCTTAAACGGGTTCTTCTGTACAAAATCCCACAAATTATTCAACTTAGACTATTCTTCCAGAAACTATTTTAGTAATCTTTCAAAGAGTCCTAGTCATGGGTATCCTGAACCCTCAATTAATTGACTTTTTCCCTAGCCAAGGATAACAGACACTGAGTGAAGTTTCAACAAACTGAGAATACAAAGTTCTGCAGAGGTAATGACAGGGATATATATATATATATTAACTGTAGGCAACCTGGTAAAGTCTCTGATTATTCCAAAGGCTTTTTCCCAAGTAGGAAAAAACCCAAAGGAATTATTCAGTCACTGAAGGTAAAAACAAAATAAAACCCAGGCACCTGCAAGATAACTGATTTTCCTTAGCTGGTGCTGAGGTGGCAGATACCATGATGTAGGCACTGAAATCTATATTCAAAATATTAAAATTTGGAAATATTGATAAACAGGCTATTATAAAGTTGTTTCACCTGAAAGCATTCCTATGCCAGCACAGTACAATTGCTCAAGACTGTTTTAACTAAATACAAACTCTTACTGTGGCATTTACATTGAGCTTTTGTTATGGGGATTGAGAGGCAGGTACTTATTAACTGCTAATACTTTTAATAAAGATCAATCTTACTTGCTTCAGCTTTCACTTTGTCCATTTCGGCAAGCAACGCCACTTCCCGATCCATTAAACTAGGAAGGGATGACAAAGGGAAAGAATGTTGGATCAGAAACTCAAACAGAAAAATAGCACGTTGTTAATAGTGGAGAAAGACTTATGCGTTTGTTCCCTAAAAGCATACTACAAAATAAGCACGTATATACCACACATGAAAATCTTATCTTGCCCTCAGCAAAGACTATTTTAAAGATTTCAATACAGAAATCCAACTCCCTTTTATTTCTACTGATACATATTACAGTAAGCCAGTAGCTAGACATTTAAGAGTTGAGAACCAGTAGATGGCAGTAGCAAACCACAAAACAATTTTTGGTAAGTTGTGCTAAAGCACAAGTCCTCATGAAAATTACATATTTCTACTTTTGTGCATATATTTTATTTTATATTCTGGTCTATAAAATTGGTCACTTTTGCTTCTAATGAATTTTTACCAAGCAATACCCCTGCTAGGGCACAATACATTTAACCACAATTAGGATTTATAGATCTTCAACATTTTAGCACAGTTGCTTACCAAGTCCACCAGCACTTTAGTCTTTAGAATGCAGAGTAGTCAAAAGACACATATACTGGTACTATTTTTGGGTAAACGTTTAACAGTAATCCAGAAAAGATGGAATCAAAGGTTTCTGGAAGGCTTTTTACCGAAAAAGAACATTAAACAGGCAATTATAATTTTCTCCACTATAAATGTAAATGGTTTGTAAGCACGGGAAAGCTTTTCCATGTCCTTATAAAAGAGCCCACCATCTTCAATGAACATATAAAGAGATAATAGGTTGCCCTAGTATTTAACCTCTAGATACAAATAATTTTCCTTACCACATCCATTTTGCTTACTAGTGGCAAAAAAAGAACTAAAGCTTCACTATCTGTACAAACATAAAATGTTCCAACTCTCTTCAGAGTTGAAATTCATTCTAATTTCTCCTTTTGAATGGGTGTATAACTACAGGGTTAATAAAAGTTCTCTTTTTTTCTGGTTGTAAAACTAATCACACACATATGCATATATATACATACACACATATAAATACACATACATACACACACACAGAAAAAAAAACCCAACTCAGTTTAGCTCTGTATGTTGTTATGTTAGCACAAAGTAGTTAATATGGAGACTATAGAGTGAGATATTTTATGCACTTTTTTTTTTCCATTTATTTTTATCAGTTGGAGGCTAATTACTTTTCGCCACACACTGACATGAATCAGCCATGGATTTAAATGTGTTCTCCATCCCGATCCCCCTTCCTGCCTCCCTCTCCATCCCATCCCTCTGGGTCTTCCCAGTGCACCAGCCCTGAGCACTTGTCTCATGCATCCAACCTGGGCTGGTGATCTGTTTCACCCTTGATAG